GGTAGGGGCAGGGTTCGCATGTGGTCTCCTAGCAGGAGGGCAGCAGACCTGGGCAGCAGGAGTGGCGCCGGGCAGGCCCACCCCACGGGGGGTACGGTCCGCCCGTAATTATAGGAAGGTTGCGCGAGGAGGACGCAGGGGCCTTGGAGAGCCCGTTTCGAGGCTTTGGGAGCGGGGCGCGACCACCGAGAGCGGCCAGGGACGAACCGAGGAGGCAAGGATGCAAGGGTACCCTTAGGGAGGTTGCCCATCCTTACTATGCGGGTTGACCGTATGGCTAGGGCCCGCTCCGCGAAGCTCCGCCCGTGCCCGACAGGCCTAGGGGGCCGCATCGCTGGGGCGTCGGAGAGTGCTGTGGCGTCTGCGCTGGGCGGTGAAACGCAGGCACGACAGCGCTCCCCGGGAGGGGGCGCGGCGGGAAGGAGGGGTTGGAGCCGGCTGGGGGTCTGAGGTGGCCCAGCATTCGTGCCAGCGAGCACGAAGGGGGAATGGAAAGAGGCTCGAGGTTGGGGGTGCGAGACGGTTTTTGCCTGCTTCTGGGGCCTGTTTTCGGGCCCCGGGACCGTCACAAAAAATTGATTCGGGGTGCACAAACTGAGCCAGATGGACCCCCTGGACCGATTCTGAGCGGATTTGAGCTTATTGTTCCTTCCTGGCAGAATTTCTTTGCCACGCGTCGAGGGGGGTAGGGGCAGAGGGGGAAGGGCACCATGCTTCTTAGACGGCGCGGGCCTTTTCTGTAGATGTAAGGCCCGCGCCTTTTAAGAAGCAGCCTCCTTCCAAGCAGCCTTCCCCCTCCCCCCCCCCGCGCACCGCCAATTTGTTCGAGGTCCACCCAGCTCATAATCCCCAGCCGCCCCGAATGGGGGGCGAGAGGGCACGTCTTCCTTGCTGGTGCTGACGGCGGGGCCAGAGGCTGGTCGATTATTTGCGCTACTTTTGGTAGTCCAGCAGGCTGGGCGCAGCGCCAGACACGAACAAGTCGAGAGGCTTGAACTCTTCGGCGAGTAACTTGACGCCTGCGGGAGTACAAACGTCAGTTCTCTGCACAGGGCGGCAAAAGCAGACAGTCTATATATATATATATATATATATATATGTATATATATATATATAGATAGATAGATATAGATGACCGGCACGCCCACGTCTTGAAGGCCCGAGGGCCGGTGGTGCCGCGTTTGCGTGCTTGGCACGCTTCCTTGGCGACGTCGGCAGTATTCGGCGCACAATCATGGCATGTATCGGCTGGCCTTCTGCGATCGGCCCGAAGATGGGAGCTCGGCAAGCTTCGGTTCAGTTTCAGGTGCCAGCGACGGCCAGAGGAATTCTTCATGGTGTTCAACAAGCGCGCGGCGGACAAATTCACACAGTGGCTCCGTTCGGCCAACATCAGCATGATACATCACAAAATTGCTCGCGCGCTATACAAATCGGCATGGCAAGGACAGCTGGATCCATGCAAAATAGGGCCCAATCCACTGGCAGCTGCGCGAAAGCACCGCTCAGAGTCCTGGTGGACATCTATGCGCGCTTTGGGGTGGCGCGCCGACCGGCGGCAGGAGGGCTACGTGCATGCACGCGGAGGTCATCAGAAACTCAGGTGGGAGTCCCCCTTCGTTCAAGCATTCGGCCCTGATCGGAGGGCGCGCCAGGACTCCTGTTCAACGCTGGCGGCATGGATGGGAGGTTGTGACTGGTTCATCGCTACACTGTCTTCGGCGTGGCAGTTACCGCAGATTCGTGACAAGGATTGTCTTCCTGAAGCACCAGGGGTTCCTCGAGACAGCATGGGGGTCCCGAGGGAACCGGCGGCAATTGATCGCCCGCCGCTGGTGCTGCCGCACTCTCTGGGCAACTCTTGGCAGACATCTCGCGGAAGCTTTGACGTGGACGTTGGCAGGAAGAGCAGTTATGCAGTAAGATCGACACTTCCCTTTGTTCAAACGAATCGTTCGCCTGATCATGAGACTGCATGTGCGAGGGGTCCGACCATTCTACGACGCCTTTGACTACAAAAGTTGGTCGCCGCGCGAGGACAACTCACTAGCAGGCCACAGCGCTCACATATCCATGGACGAGGGAAGAAAATGGTCAGATGGGCGCAGCGTCCTACCAACACAGATCGGCGAAAGAAACATCCGAGTTTGCACAGATGGCGGGTTCCGGTCAGACGGGGTGGGCGCCGTCGGCATTGTTGTCATGGAAGCAGAGCAGCACGCGGACGGCCGCTACAGCTACAATAGTAGGGCAGGCTTCTGAGGGGCATCACATCCGCGCTTGAGGCCGAGGTGGTTCAGCCAAGCAATAGCGTGAACATGTGCGGGCTAGGGTCCATGCGCACTACGAAAGAAAGAAGATCGGCACGTTTGACTCCCTCCCCCCCGCCGAAAAGTCCCAGTGGCAAGTGTATCTGCAGCGACCTGGCGTGTCCCAGCCCCCTTGGGAACGGGTGGTGGGGCCCTCAGAGGAGGCAATTCGTGGCAACGTGAGACTCAAGTACGCCGGAATTCAGGTTTGCCGCCGCGCGCGTTTTGACAGGCGCGTCCTGGATTTTGACGGCCCAGTTGTCGTGGTATGTTGGCAGCGGGAGTTCGCGTCAAATTTCAGAGTGGGTTTCGTCGTTTTCTTATGGCCCCCAACCCGCGACCCCCGAACCAAGCCTTACGTCCCCCCGAGCCATGGTCTTGGACATGTTTGGGGCCCTTGGGGCCCAGATGTATAAATGAACGCGTTCTTTGGACGCTGGGAAGGGGAGGGGGGGTTCGAACCAGGGGGGGCGGGGAGGGACTGCAATGCAAAGGGGGGGTTCGAACTGGGGGGGGGGTCGAAACGAAGTGGCCCCCCGCCCCTCCCTCCCCAGTGGCGACCGACGACGACGAACGCCGGCGCCGGCGCCGGCCTCGTTGGGCAACGACGACGACGGTCGCGTCGCTTCTTGGTAGGATGCTGCCAGAAGGTTGGATCGAACCCGAGTAAAATTCTATCAGAGCTAGATCGAACCCTATCAGGGTTCAGTTAGATCTGGATCTAGGTACAGTTCGATTCTATGTGAGACGGATCGAATCTGAGTGGGATCCAATCAGAGCTCGATCCGGTTAAACTAGGGTTCTACTGCAGCGAGAAATGTGCCGTGCAGCGTCCGCGTGACGTGTCGTGCTGCGCTGAGATCGTGGAGTGCTAAAAACGTACCGTGTAGTGCCCGCGTGCTGTACCGCACCGTGCCCAGGTTAAGAAGCGACAAGCATGTGCCGTGCAGTGCCCGCGCGCCATGCTGCCCGCGTTTTGGGATCTAGAATTCTATCAACGTGCCGTGCCTTGCCCGCGTGCCGTGCCCGCGTGCCGCGCCGCGCGGTGCCGTGCGTGCAGGCAACGTGCCGGGCCGTGCCCGCATGCCGTGGCGTGCCGTCCACAGGCTTGTACGATGCGAGCATGTGCCTTGCCGCGCCCTTGAACCGTGTCGTGCCGCGGCTACGTTCTAGAAAGCGAATTGTGCCGTGCCGTGCTTTGCCCGGTTTTGCACGGCATTGGCCACCCACGCAAACCACGTCCCCGTTGATGTTGTTTTGCTGAGTCTGTTCACGTGCAGCGCTACCGGTTAGGGCTTCTTCGTACGGTATAATGTCGCCGCGGCCTCGCACTCTTCCTCTTCCCATAGGGTCCGGGCGCCGCAGTTCCTCACATCAGGCGTTTGTGCCTCACTTCGCGCCTCTGGGCCCTCACGGGCCGATCCTGCTCGAGGAATGCTGCATCAAGGTGGGGCCACCGTCGTGACTTCTCACGATGTTGCAGCTTGTCTCGCGACGTCGGATCTCAGGGCGTCTCCTCTCCCAGACGTCTGGAGGCGCCCGAAAGGTGTACAGTTCTTCGCCCCCCACTCACCGCCCCCGTGCAGCAACGTACCACAGGGGGCCGTGCACTGGTTAATTACGTGGTGACCCCTTGGCGTGGTGCCTTTCTGGCCTACCTTTTGGGGGGGGGGGCCTCTCGCGGCCACGGCTCGTGCGCAGCTCGCAGACCCGGCCAGGGAGGGGCCCAGACATCGGGAGAGGCGTTCGGGCCCCCTGCTCGCACGCAACGAGCGAGGCGCGCGCGCACTTGGTTGGCTACTCTGCAGCGCGTAACCCGCGGCAAAACGCATGAAGGAGAACAACCATTTGCACTTCGAACGGATTGTTGGGGGGAAGCCGCTGTATCCTTCGACCGACCCCCATCCACACTGGGCCACGGTATCTCAGCCCCACCGCCCCACCTCCCCATTTGGGGATCGGCCCCTCGAAACGCGAAGGGAACAGCCGGTGACGACGACGACGACGACGACGGCGAAAACGGCGAGAAGGGCGGCCCCCAACTGTGGTGGTGGGGTTCATCGGCCAGTGGGGCCAAGGACACGCCAGTGGGGGGACAGGGATCGGCGAAACGGTGCTCGAAGCCCTTCACGGTCACTGGCCGGGGCGCGAGGGCAGCCGCGCCTCGGCGGCCGGTGGTCCGCCGGCCGAGAGGTGCCCGCCGGCGGTGCCTGCCGCAGCAGGGGCGACACGGAGGGACGGGCTCGGGAGGAGAGGCGTCGAGGCTCTCGAGTTCGATGTTTGAAGGTCCCTGGCGCTTTCGTCGGTTCCCGGCGGTCTTCCAACTTCGGAATGCGCCCCAGCAGCTGCGCCTCGCCGAGGGCGTTCCGGGGGTGCCAGAACCGTCCGAGCGGCCGCCGGAGACAGTGGGGGGGAATGCATCGACCCACAGTCGCCCATTGATCGCCGATAGAGGCTTGATGGCCCCAACCTGCCCAGGACCGTGCGGATTCGCTATCGGGGGCCCATCGCCGATCTATCGGCGGTATGTCGCTGAATCCAGGTCGATGTTTCCTCCCCCATGCCAGTCCCCCCGATGACGATAACGACGATGACAATGACGACGACGATGATGACAATGACATTGTCATTGTCATCATCGTCGTCGCCATCGTCATCGGCGTCATTATCATCGTCGTTGCCCCTCACCGCAGCCGCTTCTCCTCAAGACACGGCTGCGCGGGTGTGCGCGAACACATTTCTGGGGGCGCCAGCTATATACGGCTGCCATACGGCCGCACATTGATCTTGGCCGAGGCGGGCTTTGGGCCCGGAGTCGGTGTCCTCTCGGGTTCCTCCTATGGCGGCCTCTTCGGGCCGCCTCGGGGGCTCTGGGGCCGCCCGGGAGCGACTCCGAGGGCCTCTTCGGCCGCAGCGGACGTTCGAGCGACGGCGAAGGCGAGCAGACCAGCGTCGCTCCAGAACCAGAGGACCCTCCTCGGCCCGTGGAGACCACATGCACCGACTCGGGCCCCAGGGTTTGGCCAGGGCAAGGGGCCAGGCCCTGCCAGAGGTGTATACAGTCGGCGCCGTCCTGCGCACAGGCACGGGCGAGCAGGCCAGTCGCCGCGATGTGCAGGTACTCGAGCCCCTCGGAGCACGCGTCCGCGTGGCTCCGGCGCTTCGAGGACGCGCTGCTGGCCCGCGACGTCGAGGCCGTGACGGGGCTCTTCGCCCCGGACTGCTACTGGCGGGACCTCGTGGCTTTCACGTGGAACATCTCAGAGGAGGGCGAGCCGAGACAACGGCAGACGGCCTTGGGGGGGGTGCCCTCGCTGCCACGGCTGGACGCAGCTCGGAAAACTGGTGCGGATTCCGGGGGCCGACTCTGAGCTATCGCTGTCTCAGTTCGCCCTGCTCCGAACGTCAAGACCATGGAGGGCCGCGACGCCATCGGCCACATGGTCGCGGCGACGCTGGACAACGTCCAGCCCTCCGGCTGGACCCTGGTGGGCGAGGCCTCGGAGTCGGACGGCGTGATCGAGGCCCAGATCACGTTCGAGACGGCGGTGGCGCGCGGCTCGGGCCACATCAAGCTCGGCGAGGAGGGCTGCTGGACGCTGAGCACAGCCGCGCAGGCCCTCAAAGGCCACGAGGAGCGGCGCGGCCCGTTCAGGAGCTCGCGGAAGGAAGCGCTGCGTGGATCTTGCAGTTTCACTGTTCCGCGCGGACTCCTTGGATCGGCGCTGGGCCCCCTGGCGGCGCCGCCCCCGGCGCGCTCCGCGCGTCGGGGCGGGGTCCCGGCGCTGATCCGAGAAAATCCGCGCGCAGCTCCGACAGTTTCATGTTGTTGCAGCTGTCTCTTCCTCTAGGGTTACGATGCAGCTCCTGGCAGGTTAAACTCAAGGTAGAAACACTGGCGCAGTCTGGCATAATCCCGCTTGGTCTGGCTGCATTCCGCTTCTAATCTGGCGTCATCCAGCTTGATCTTGGACCAAATCCGGCCCAGTCCTGCTGAATGGCCCCTTGACCGTGCTGCATCGCCCCAAATCGTTCTCACGAAGACCTCCCAGGAGTTATTTCCCAATCTCGGGGGAGGAAACATGGGGACCATGACCAAGATGGTGCGGGATCTTGTTGATGCCCATCTTTGTTATGGTGCATGTCCGCCGTTGCCGACATCGCGAGGATGATATACGAGTTGACGTTGACCAAGGTCGACGGTGACTAACATTGACACGACGTTTCCGCGTTCAGTCTTGGTCATGGTCCCCGCTCCCTTCCCCTCCACAATGTATCAGCCACGCGCAGAGGGGAGTAAACGGAGGGGGGAAGTCTCCTTCGCAGCGTGCCTTGTCTATGGATGCAAGGCCGGCGCCTCCGAAGAAGCAGCCTCCTTCGAAGAAGCCTTCCTCCCTCGCCTTACGGCAGGTTCGCGTCGTGCCGACCGGCGGCGACCCCACCGTGTGCGTTTGAGGTTGAACGCCGCCCGTGGCCCAGAATCGGCCCGTCGTTGAACGATCCGGCGCTCACGGAACGTCGGATCGTTGAAGTTTGAACGATCCCCGCGGTGTCAGGAACCAATGCCGGGGTCGACCCGACACGCACCTGCCGTACCCCCCTTGGTGCGCGCCGCCCATCCACAGTCCAGGAGCGCGGGGGCGCCGTACGGCGCGCGCCGCGGCGGGGCTGTGCAGGACGGGCGCTCCGAGGCGGAGCCATACGTCGTCGTCGTCGGGGGCAGCCAGGCGGGCATCGCCCTGGGGGCGCGCCTCGCAGCGCTCGGCGTGCCGCACGTGGTGCTCGAGAGCAGCGCGCGCGCGGGGGACACCGCGAGCGGCGAACGCATCCATTTTCCGCATTTGATGATAAGAGAATGGGGGGGGTCGGATCTGGGGGAGGTAGGGTTCGAGCTGCCTTGAAGCATCCTTGGCTGGGGGTCCGGGGTGGCCCAGCACTGGTTCCAGCGAGCAGGAAGGGGGGTGGGCAGGTTCGAGGCTCGGGGCTCGGAATGGTTTTTGGTATGTTTCTTCCTCCGGGTGCCGTTTTCGGGCCCCGTGACCGTCAGAAACGGATCCGGGGACCCCAGAAGGCGTTCGGGGCGTGATTTTGAGCGGATTTGCCTTCATCCACCCCCCCTCTTGATATACTCTCGGGGCCCAGCCAGCTCAGACCTCTTGGCCGTCTTCACTCCATATCCACGCCTTCGCGGTCTGGATTCCGAGGCGCTGTCCCCCAGACGCGCGATCGCACGGATACGTCTGCGCGGGGCGTCCGCGACAAAGATTTCCCGTATTCGCGGGGTCGCGGCCCAGGGGCTTTGTACGCGAGGCCGTGGTTACGGATACGTATTTTTTCGCCCACGAGGACAAGTGGCGCACGCGCTACGACGCCCTTTCGCTGCACGACCCCGTCTGGTGCACGCACCTGCCCTACATGCAGTTCCCGGAGAGTTCGGGGAGGGAAAGGAGGTACTGATGCCGCTACCCTTCACACGTTCTTGTTTTTGGGGCCCCCCTGGGAGGGCCTGGTCGCCACCGCTGGATTCGCTTTGAAAATTCTGGACAGAACGCACACTGGGAGAGGCCCGGGGAATAGCGGTATGAATATCTTTTTGTTGTTTCCTCAGGAGACGTGGCCAGTCTATCCCAGCAAGGATTTGGGGGCCGCCCAAGCGGGGTCGAAGTAATTAGGCCGGGGGAGGATGGATCGCACCGCTTCGCCGATGCATCGACGGTGCGGCTCGATGTAGAGCTCTACTGATTTTCTCCACGCCGACGTCGCTGGTGCATCGGCGGTACGGCGCGATCTTCCGACCTTACCTGCTCGTACCCCATGCGGGCGGCCTCCCGAGGATCAGGTTGCGGACTGGCTGGAGATGTACGTGAAGGTCATGGGCGTCAATTACTGGACCAATGCGAGGTGCACGGCCGCCACTTGGGACAGCGCGGCGCGGGAGTGGGCCGTGACGGTTGAGCGGGATGGTGAGACCGTGCGGTTGGCACCGAAACAACTCGTGTTGGCAACCGGTCTCTACGGGCTCCCGAGCATGCCCACCTTCGAGGGGGAGCAGGAGTTTCGCCAGGAGTTTGGGGAAAAACAAAATACGTAGCGTTCCGCAGTTGCGGATACGAGTGAGGGAGCGGCGGGGACGTCTACATTCTGCGAGGCTCTGAAGAAGCCCGCCGCAGGCGCCTAACTTTTACAAATTGTACTATGGGCCCGCCGCAGGCGCCGATTTTTCGTGAAAGCAATGTGGGTGGGTCGCGGTGTGGGTCGCGGGTGGGCCACGGGTGGGTCGCGGGCGGGTCACGGGTGGGTCGTGGGCAGGGTCGCGGGTGGGTCGCGGGCGGGTCGCGGGTGGGTCGCGGGCGGTTCGCGGGTGGCGTCGCGGGTGGGTCGCGGGCCACGTCGCGGGGAGGACGACGCCAAACAACAACGAACAACAAACAACAAACAACAACCACCACCAACAACAACCACAACAACAATAACAACAACAACGACAACACGAGCAACATCACCAACAACAACCACAACCACAACCACAACAACAGCCACAACAGCAACAAGAAGAATCCGCATCGCGGAATCCCACTTCAGCCACGCACGTAGGGACAGTGAATGACCGTTCGGCATCCTTCTTCTGATCACTCTGGTAAGCAGAAAGTTTAGGTCCCCTCGCTCCCCCCTTCCTCGATTTTCGCTCGCCCCTGCTCGCTCCCCCTCCTCGCCGATCCCTTGGCCGCCCACTTCGCCTCAGTCTGCCAGATTTGTTGTCAAATGGCCGAATGGGGCATGGGAGTCCCGCACACGCCGCCGGGGTTTCTTTTCTGATTCCACTGCCTCCTCTGCGGTGCTTCTCCCGCTTGTTTCACACATCCTCGGCGGCACACTTCGGGCGGCAACCACAGAGGCATCAGGCTTGCTTTGCGCCGTCGCTGATGGGAAACATTGACGATTTCGGAGGTCCGAAAGTTTGTCTTTACGCAGTGTCTCCTCTCTCTACCTGGTTGCGCGCAGAGGGGGGTAGGGGGAGGGGAGGGGGAAAGGCTTCTTAGAAGGAGGCTGCTTCTTAGAAGGCGCCAGCCTTACATCTACAGAGAAGGCCCGCGCCGTCTCAGAAGCAGGGGTGCTTCTGAGAAGCCTTCCCCCCTCACCCCTTACCACCCTCTGCGCTTGGCCGATCCACCAGGACCGCGAGGTGATCCACTCCTCCAGCTTCGTCTCGGGCGCGGCCTACGCCGGGAAGCGGGTCGTGGTGGTCGGGTGCGGCACGTCCGCCCACGACATTTGCGCCGACCTGCACTCCCACGGCGCGTGCGCCACCATGGTGCAGCGGTCTTCCACCACCATTCGGGATGCTCGTGCTGGGGGCCTTCCTGGGGCCCTTCGAATGGACCTGTTCGGCTCCAGTTCGATTCAAGGTCGACTCGAACTGGATTCGAGTCCGACTCAAGGTCGACTCTCGTCCGACTCAAGGTCGACTCGAGTCCGACTGAAGCCGACGGACGTTCGTCGCAGCATCGACGCATGACTGGAGAAGGTGGCTCCAGGAAGCCAGAACGAACATCTAAACCATCGTTGGGCGCAAGACGCTCTGCGACGTCCTGTGCGGCGACCTGTACTCTGAGGCTCGGGAAGAGAGCCACACAACTGCATAACCACAAACTCTCGGAGGCCCTCGCGGATTTCTTGGATCGGCGCTGGGGCCCCCCTTGCGGCGCCTCCAGCGCCGCCCCTACAGCGCTCCGCGCGCCAGGGTGGGGGGCCCCGCGCCGATCCGAGGCATCCGCGCGGAGCTCCGAATGCGCATGTTTGTCCAGTCTTGCTTTGGGCCGCCTCCACTGCGTGTCCCCTCCCTCCTGCATGGTGGCACAGTTCGCAGCAACAGTATCCCCGTTTGGGTAGCTCTCCGCCAGCGCAGTTACCCTCTCCGCCATCGCTGTTACCCTGCCCAGCCGCGGACGCAAAAGAGTTTACCCAGTCTCGTTCCTCCAGAGGCGGCCGTGGAGAAGGGCATAGACCCGGAGAAGGCCGACCTGATCTTCGCGTCCATCCCGTACCGCCCGCTCGCGGAAGCTCAGAGGGTGGCGTGCGCCAAGATGCAGGAGCTGGACGCGGGCATCCTCGACAGGCGTCGGGGAGCGCCACCTCTCCCCTCGACGCTCGACGACGACGAACTGCACAAGCGTAACCTTCCGGAGCTCCGCGCGGATTCCTTGGATCGGCGCTGGGCCCCCTCCCGGCGGCGCCTCAGGCGCCGCCCCTGGCGCGCTCCGCGCGCGAGGTCGGAGGAGGAAACGGTACCGATACCGCTTTCCCCTTTTTCGGCCTCCTGGGAGGCCCTCGTTGCCACCGTTGGACTCGCATTGAAGCCCTGGTCATAACGCACCCCGGGCTGGGGAGCAGCGGTATCGGTACCTTTTGGTTTTCCCACGAGGGAGGCGTGTCTAGTGCAGATCCGAGACGTCCGCGCGGAGTTCCGAAAGCTCATGCTTCTGCAGTTGCCACCTGTTCGGGCCAGGCCAGTCTTTTGCCCTGTGCCGGTGCACACGCTGGCCCGGCCAGGCCAGCGGGGGGTCGCGCACGCGTCGATGCGTGGCGCCACGGGGCGCGGGATCGGTGCAGGTGTGGCGGGGGGGGGGGGCAGCTGCTGCCGTCTGCTACCGTCGAGAGGCTGCGGCAGAGGGGGTTCCTCATCGACTTCGGCGAGGACGGCACCGGGAACTTCATGAAGTTCGTGCGGGCAGGCAAGGGGTATTACTTTGACTGCGGAGCCTCCGAGCTGATCGCCAGCGGCGAGGTCGGCCTGAAGGTGATCCTCCTCTTCGTCTTACTCCCACTCCTGACGTTTTAGTGCTAGCTCTAGTGGCATTCGGCCCTTCCCACGGCCGTGCTCAGATCGTGGACAAGTGGCCTCTGAGATGGCTCTTGGGGTCTCTTTTGGACGGCCTGTTGGGGCAGTTGGGGCATGGAGGTATACGTGCATCCTGTTTGAGCCTCTGGGAGGCCTCTCGGGGACCTGGGTATCTCGAGGCCTCTGGGGGCCTCTCGAGGGCCTCTTGGGGGCCTCCTGGTTGCCTGGAGGCGGTCCCGGGGGGGCATCTTGAGGTGTAAGTCGGCTTCCCCCTCTTGGGCCTCTCTTGGGGTCTTCTTTGGGACCTCTTCGGCACCTCTTTGGGGCGTCGTGAGGCTCCCTTGGGCGCCTCCTGGATTGTCCTGGTCGCTCTAAAGACCAAAGCGGCGAGTGTGCGAACATCGGCTAACAATTTAACGTATTTCAGTGATTTGGGCTTTTGTGGTTGCCCCTCAAAGAGCAGTAAGGCGGCCCAGTTGGACCTGCTAAGACTCGCCCAACAGCGCTATCCCAGAAACCCAAGTTGTGAAACGACACGAGCTTCCAAACTGACAGGAAACTGACGACTTTGCACATAGAGAACTGACAGGGACAGGAGGGCAGCCATGACGATGGCAGATATACTTCCACTCTCCACCTTGTTGGCCCTTACACCGAGCGGGCGGTTCCCCTGTGTCCATCACGTTGGTTTGGCGAAGGACACAACCATATGCAGTTGTGAATACCGCACGTGTGCGTATCACGATGGGGCCACAAAGCGTGTGAGGGGTGTACCTTAATGGATGCGGCGGGCGCATGCGAACGCAGCCATTGGGGCTTTCTCCCTATGGGGCAAAGAAACATGAGAGGGGTGTACCTTACTGGGTGCGGCGGGCGCATGCAAGCGCAGGCACCGGGGCCTTCAGTGGAGCTTTCCATGGGACCACGAAACGTGCGAGTCGCGCGTCGAATGAGAGGGGCAGAGGCAGGGGTGGGGGATGGAAGGAGGAGAGGAGGAGGAGGAGGAGGAGGAAAAGGAAAGGAGGAGGAGGAGGTGGAGGAGGGGGAGGAGGAAGTTGAAAGGAAGGAAGGAAGGAAGGAACGCGGGGCGCTGTCTCTTCAAAACGAGGACCCAGCACCACACGATGGTTGGGACAACATTTGAAAATATGTTCAGGGGCCCAGACCCCATGCGTGGCAGGAACGAGACAAGGCGCGCATCGCGTGCAGAACAGCGGAATGCCTTTCTCGCCTCCGCGCAGCGCGTGTTGTTCCTGAAACTGGAGATCCAATGTTGGTTCGGCGTGCTGGAGAGATCGCGAAATGTCGCCCTCGCGCAAGGGGGGGGCGGGCCTGAGAATTGCGCTCTCGCTTGGGCGGGGCGCAGGCTTCTCGGCCGTCCGTGGGAGCCCATATTGTTTTCGCATCGGCTCCGTGCAGATCCCTTCAGAAAGCTGCGCTGCCGTTTGGGCGCGACGTATGGTCTTACCTGTTGCAGTCGTTTTCCAGGAACGCGTCTGCTTGCTAACGAGTTTGACGGTGTTGTGTCTGGATCGCCGTGCAGGAGTCGGCTGAAATATGGAATCTTGTTTGGGCCAGGCCTGTGCTTGCTCTTCGCCTCGTCATCGAAAGCTGGGCCGCGCGCGCGGGGCTCAGTACGCTAGGGTGGAATCGCGCGCCACTCCCAATAATCCAGTTGTGTCAGCATTGGTAATTCTGCTCTGGGAGGTCGTTTGGAAATGAGCGAGGCCCGCTAATTCGTTCGGACTGGCTCATTTCGTGGCTCGGGCTGCCCTTCCCTATCCTTTGGCCCCCAAGTGGACCCTCGCGCCAGGCCCATCCCGAAGATAAAGCTAAGCCGTAGTTGTTCATGTTCGCTTCTGACTTTTCGTCGCCTTGCAAAACGCGCAGGCTGGATGGATGGGGCGCGGCGCACATCGCGCGTGAGAGAGCGAAATGTCGTTCTCTCCTGAGCGCCGCGTCTGTTGCTTATTTGATCGCTTCGCTCATTCTGCCGGCCCTGGAGCGCTATTTGGGGCCTCTTGGGGCCGTCTTGGGGGCCTCTTGGGGGCTTCTTGGGAGCGTCTTGGGGCTCCTTGGCGGCGTCTTGGGGCGGGAGGGGGGCCACGTCTGTTGCTTATTATCATGAAGCTTCCTCTCCTGCTGGTTTGGCGGGTCGCATATTGTTCGCTCGCAAAGACGCCAGCGGCGCGCACTTTTGTCGCCCGCCCGTCGTCGGCAGCGGGGCCGCGCCCGAGATGGTGAAGCTTCGATCTCACCCGCGCGCTGAGTAGATCTCGACAGACAGCTGTGTTCCCGCTTGGGCGCGGCGCTCCTTTCGCCCGCGCCAGTCCTATCGGGCCTTTTGGCTGCGCGCGGCAACGCCGAACGGCGCCCTCGCCGAAGCGCCTCGCGAGACTTCCTGACACTTCCCGTCCCCGCCGGTGCGCGGTCGTTGGTTTTTTTGTCCGCCGCCAGGGCGCCGGGAGAGGGGCGCCCCTCGCGCGCGCGGGAGCGCCGTCGGTTCGCCAGGCGGGAGCCCCGCGCCTGCCCCAGGTCTCGGGGCGGCGACGTCCGGGCCCTGCCCTCGCCGAGCAACGGTTCGGGCGCCTCGGTGGGCGGCGGGGGGTGGGGTCCGGAAGTCGTCGAGCACGTGGCGAAATCCGAGCCATACGGTAGAGGGAAATTACTGAACACTCCCCCTCCCCCCCAAACTCAACGTTGGCACGCGCGGGGGAGATTGCGGTCGAAGTGCATCTCATCAGACCCACCGCCAACTTTGAACATTGGGGGAGGGGGAGGCGTTGACGGATGAATGTGGCATGTGTTCGCTAAATTGTTCCGAGGCCTGTACCACCGCCTCCCATCGGAGAATCGATGGCGGCCGGATGTCGCCACGTGTCGGCACTGCGTCATGGGGGAGGTCGGCGATCGTGAGTGGGCGGGCCGGGGCCCGCTGACGCGCTCGAGCTCGCTCGCTGTTCTCCTGTTCCTGCTCCTGCTCCGGAAGGTGGGCCAGATCGCCAGGCTCTCTGGCCAGGGCGTCGTGATGGAGGACGGGGCCGTGCTGCCCGCCGACGCCGTGATCCTCGCCACGGGCTACGGGCCAATCAACGACCTCGCCGCGCAGTTCCTGGGCAGAGAGGTCACCACGAGGCTCGGGAAGGTCTCGGAGGGGAACGAAACGGTGACCATGGCCCAGACTGAACGCGGGAACGTAGGTGTCGATCTTGGTCACCGTCCTATATGGCCACCGCCAATTCGATGATCCTCGAGTCGGCGATGGACAGCATGGAGCATGACCAAGATCGGCGTCGAGAAGCTCCCGCGACATCTGGGCCGTGGTCATCGCGCTTCTGCCCTCGAGGTCTGGGGCCTGGGCTCGGGCACCCCTGGCGACCCGGGCCCCTGGGAGGGCGAGCTCCGGAACATGTGGAAGCCCACGCAGGCGGTCGGCACGAAGAACAGGGGGTCCAGACGGGGCTCGTTTCGATTCCTCCGATTCGATTCGACTTCGATGGCTTCCGATTCCGATTCGATTCGACTTTGGATTTCGATTTAGGTCAGATTTCTCATTGGAGGCATACCTGCCCGCCGATGTCCGCCGATTCGATACATTTCGATCGCCGATCCGACCTATCGATTGAAATTCTGGGCTCCCCTTCCAGAGGGAAGCGGATGCAGATGTCTTTTGCCGTTGCGGGCCCCAGGGGGGGGGGCCCGAGGGCCCGCCCACAGCCAGGCCCACGGCCGGGCGCATACGGCGCCGCCCCCGAGCAGAGAGGACACGGGCGAGCAGGGGGGGGGGGGGAAGGGCGGAGGCGACCGAGCGAGGGGGAGGGCGAGGATCAGGCGATCGCAAACATGGATCAGGGGGGGCGTGGGTTTGCGACGGGCCCCGTTTCCAGGGGAGATCGCGGACTTTCTCCGCCGAGCGAGGCGGCACCGGCCGCATTCTGGGGAGGGCACCTCCCCCGATCCATGGATTTGGCGACCGCGCGCCAAATCCATGGATCGTTACTCCATGTTTGCGCGCCCCCCGGAGGAGCAGCGCGGGCGAGGAGGAGGGCGAGGACCAGAGCGGGGGGGGCGTCTCGGGATGACAAGCTGGCTTCGGGGGGAAGCTCTATAGGGGGGTCTACTGCGCGTTTCCTTCGGGACCCGCTTCCCTCGGTGGAAGGGGGCAGCTTTGCATCAACATGAATTTGGGGAGGTCCGCGCGGATCTCTTGAATCGGCGCTAGACCCCGCCTCCCTGGCGCACGGAGCGGGCCGGGGTCGGCGCCAGAGGCGCCGCCAGCAGGGCCCAGCGCAGATCCAAGAAAGCCGCGCGGAGCACCGAAAGTTTCTGTTCATGCCGCTTCGTTGTTCCTCGATCTCATGCCAGAGGTGGAGGGGCTGTGGGTGCACGGCGGCAACCTGCAGATGAACAGGAGCTCGAGAGGCTACAATGTGTATCGACGACCCGTCGCCGTTGGGGAGAACACGTCAGCGTGCCATGTCTGCGGCCTTGTCCGAAGCCCTGGTGTTTCCTCAGTGGCAACACGCTTGACGGGTTGCACACAGCGGCGTGTAATTGATATTGTTTCCTGGCATCGCTCGGGCGTATGTGATTTGTTGTTATACGAGGCCAGCGCCAGAAAATCTTGACCATCTTGGAGCATCTGGGTTCACCTTGAGAAAAACACGCACGACACCAAACAGCGCACGGGAGCTGGACGTCCGAGCGATGGCAAGCGTTTTTGCCCCCCCTCCCTCTCCTCCCCCCCTGCCCCCCCAGGTGTGTGTGTGTGTGAAGACCGCTCCTCTCCTCCTTCTACCCATCCCGTCCTGCAATCCTCTCGGCTCAGGTATTAGACAGCGTGCCCGATGACGATCGGGCCGCGAGAGGGGAAAGGACGCCTTCACTCCCTCATCTCGTCCTCTACCAACGGATCCGACGGTAGGTTCGACCCTTCGGTTCGCAACCCCCGTTCGCACCAGGAGCTACTCGCTCTACCTCGCGCTCCAGCTGCAGGCCCGCGCGCTGGGCCTGCAGACGCAGGTCTACGGGCTGCAGGAGGTCCACCACGCCGCCTGACCCAGGGGCGCGCGGCGCGCCCGTGCCTCCGAGGGGCAGGGCGCCGCCCTGCCGCGCTGTCGGCGCCCCACCCGCGCCCTGAGATCCAGTCGTCGTCGTCGTCGTCGACGACGACGGCGGCGCGCGATGTTGCCTCGTTTCGGGCCCTCGGGAATTGTTTTGGCTGTCCTCCGGTGCTGAGCGGTCGTTGCCCTCCCCCCTGGGTGACGGGGGCGGTCGCGCGCGGGGGAGGGGGTGCCGGGGCCCCCCCGCCACAGATGCTGGTGCCCGAAGGCGCGTTGTGATGCTCCTGTGTGCTGCGGCGCTCGCATGCCCACCCCGCCCAGGCGTTACGCTGCCTCCCGGCCCCCATTCCCCCCCGGGTGAGGACCGTTGCCCGACATGATACAGCCGAACATTTGTGGCCCTTACGGATCGGTCCGGCTCGAAGCATGCCGCAGGAGCAGGGTGCCCAGGGCGCCAGTCGGGGTTTCTGTTTCGCGACGCAGCGGCTTCTTCGTGGCGTTGGATCTCAAGGGAGCTGCGCCGCGCGGGCGCAGAGAGCGGCGGGCCCGGCCTTGCAGAAGAGGGCGTGTCGTCCGACCCCACTCGGGCCCGCGGAGTTCCGGGGACCATCGCGCGCGCGCGCAGCCCGCCAACCCGACCACATCGTGGCCGCGGCGCTGGTGCCTCTGGCGCCGCGCTGCCTGTTGCTGCGGGCTTCCGCTCGCCGCACTGTCCCCTGCTGCGACTGCGCCGCCAGCTCCCGCACGGCAGGCCAGGTTCCGCAGGCATGGCCGCGCTGCGGAGGGACCGCCGACGCGGCATCTTACAGCGCCTCCGGTCAAGGAGCACCGGAGGCAGAGTGCGGTCGGCCCGGCTTCCTCGGCACGCCTCCCGAGCGGGCAGCCGCGCCCAGACGGAGGGCGAGGCCGCCATGCCGTGCTTGGGACCATGGGCGCTTTGAATTCACTTCCAGAGCAGATGTCTGCAGAATGCACCCGTGCATCGCCACAATGCTTCTGGCAAGGGGAGTCCTCGGCCTCAGGATTGTGTACAGAGCCTTCGGGCCGATGCCCAGAGGGCGTGTACACAATGCCAGGGCCCAGGACGGCCCTGGCCACGCATGATGGTGGTGTATAATGTGGCACCTGTGGTGTAGGACTGCAGGACGCACGCGTTGGGCAACCGCCGGCGCCAGTCAGGAATTGAAATCTTAGCGCGTCGCGTTTCCCCCAAGCCGGTCCAGACACGATCATTGGGCGATTTCGTTGGGAGGAGCACTAGTGAAAATCAAGGGATGATTGCACGCCGAACCAAAGGAGGGATCACCCCGCGCAGGCATCCGAGATGCCGTGGCCACCCTGACCAGTCTTAGTGCACCAGGCCTTGGTTTGTCATAGAGGGCGGTTTCATCTACACACAGGCAAGTTTACTTGCGTGGCATTCCCCCACCCCCGGCCGCCTGTTCAGGCAGCGCTGGGCCAAATAGAAGTTCCGACGTGCATGAAGTCTAACATTCCTTTCCGGCATGTCCCCCCCATTCCCCCTCCATGCAAATGAACTAGCCAGAATCGAATTAAAAATTGCCTCATAGCCTGCAGAAGCAGTGATACATCCTTCGTCGTGTCGTCGTCGATAGAGGATCGAGGCTCTCTGGCGCTTCGATGGTCTCCGAACTCGGAAGGCAGTAAGAGTTGCATTATCCAGACGGGCTTCGCCCTTCGCCGCTGGTCCCCCCCTCTATCAGAGTGGAAGATATCAGAACGGATAGGAGTCAACAAAACACACTGCTATGTTGTGGCTGTTGTTGGACATTGTGTTACATGTTTGGAGCGTTCTCCTCGGATTACTGCCTCGGTTTTGGCCTCGGGAGCGCGATGCTGGCACAGTTCGGACCTTGGCTTCGGGAGCGCGAATCCGCATTTAATTACAAAGGATTGTGGCGCCAGGAGCGTGATTTCGGCGTGATTTCCAGCCTCGGGAGCGCGAATCTAGTCGAGTGTGCAAAGGACTCTGCCTCCGGGGCGCGAGGCTTGCATACTTTACAGAGGATTATGGCGGCGGGGGCGCGAAACACACGTATTTCTATGCGTCCCAGGCCCACCACGAGTTTAGAGCACACGATTCGGGGCGGTTTTGGGTTCCCCCCCTCGCGCGGACAGCAACAGCTTACAGTGGGAAGCAGAACGTAGCACGCGTTGCAACATTGGACGGGTCATCTGAGACGTCAGGTTGCCCACGAGGTACCGATGCAGCATGATTCATCGTGTACACAGCCTCGATGCCATTAGAGGCCTGGTGCTCGTGTTGCATGGATGGCCTCTTGTTATGTCATGTGAGATATCGCGACCTGCGAGTAGCCACGAATAACTAGTCAGTACCCTCCATCTTGCAGATAGGGCATCCGTGAAGCGCTGCAAAGGCATTACAGGACTGGAAATTGGGAACTAGTACAGCCGCAGGAAGCAGGACACCTCCGCCACGCAGCCTGATTGCCCCACAATGGGGGCCGGCGGAGTGTTGCAGCGTGAGGGCTAGGAAGAGTGATGCAGTTCCTCCTTGGGCCGCCGCACGACCGAAGCGTGCAACATCGGGAATCCCGCCGTCTTGGAGGCCTCTTGGAAGGAAGACTGGAAGCGGACAAGGACAGGGTCAGGGGGGCGCTGGGAGGCATCGCGCATTGTGAGGCCGTTTTTCGACAGCGAATCTATGATCTCACAACACATTGCTGTGTGATCCGTTTGGATTGCCGTCGTTGCCTTTGAGACGAAGTCACCTCCCTCTTCCCCTCATTTCTCCTCCTACCGTTTCTTTCCGCTCCCCCGCATTCTCCTTCATCCCTCCCCGCATCCCTCCTCCGCCCCTGCGCACGTTCGATGATGGGGTTGGCCCAATCCTGGTCTCCAGAGGTCTCGCCCTCTTCCTCGGAAACAGTTCCGCGCCTCGGATCCATTTTCGATTGTGCCTGTGGGGTCCGAAGTGACGGGCCCCCAGAACCCGAAAGTGTGAACAGAACACCCATATTGAAACAAAATTCGTAGCACCCCGCATATGCTGATAAGAGTGAGGGGACGTTGGGGACGTCGGCAGTTTGCGAGACTGGAGAAGCCCGCCGCAGGCGCCAAAGTTTCACAAATCATACAACGAGCCCGCAGCAGGCGCCGATTTGTTCGTTAAACCAATGTGGGTAGGTCGGGTGGGTCGCACATGGGTCGCGGGTGGGTCGCGAGTGGGTCGTTGTTGGGTCGCGGGTGGTTCGCACATGGGTCGCGGGTGTAGGGGGCAGAAAATCAACCCCAGAATTGGCACTCCGACAAGCGAAGCCGTTTAGAAAAACGCACACAAGGAATGCATCGAACAGGGCATGGCTGTTTAGTAAACGCCCAGGGCCGTTTAGTAAACGTCAATTGTCGGGTCTGGGTGGTTTTCCTCCCTTGAGGGTGGGTCGCGGGGTGGGTCGCGGGTGGGTCGCGGATGGGTCGCGGATCGGTCGCGGGGTTGGTCGCGGGGCGGGTCGCAGGGTCGGTCGCGGGTGGGTCGCGGGTTAGGTCGCGGGTGGATCGCGGGGTGGGTCGCGGGGTGGGTCGCGGAGTGGGTCGCGGACTGGGTCGCGGGCTTGGTCGTGGGTGGGTCGCGGGTGGGACGACGACAGCAAGCAGCAACAACAACGTAACAACGCAACAAGCAGAATTCTCACCTTCAATTTCCTATTCAGCCACGCACCCAGGGACAGTGAATGACCGTTCGGCCCCATCATTCTGATCTTGGCAAGGGACCCGACAATATGCAGTTGTGAGTACCGTCGTTGCGGGTATCGCCTTCGGTGGAGCTCCTTATGGGGCTGAAGCGTGTGAGGGGTGTGCCGAAGTGGGTGCGGCGGGCGCATGCGAGCGCAGCCACTGGGGCCTTCGGTGGAGCTCACTAGGGGGCCACGAAGCATGTGCGGGGTGTGCCGAACCCGGTGCGGGTACGCAATGCGAGTTCATCCAGTGGGGCTTTCGGTGGAGCTCCTTATGGAACCACGGAGCGTGTGAGGGGGTGTGCCCGATAGGGTGCGGGTGCGCCATGCGGATTGTGTTATTGGGGCCTTCGGTGGAGCTCTCTAGGGGGCCATGAAACGTGTCAGGGATGTACCGAATCGGGTGCGGGTGAGCTCCTATGGGGCCACGTAACGTGTGAGGGGCGTGCCGAAACAATTGGCATGCGGAGGGCCGAGGGAATGATGGGAGGAGGGAGGAGGGGGAGGAGGAGGAGGAGAGGAGAGGAGAGAAGCGTGGCGCAGGATGGTTGGGAACAACTTGGCCCGCGGTCAAAGCGGGCGCCTTCCCCTTCTCCCTGGCGTTTCAGAGTGTTAAGCATATCCCGCTCGACAACCACAGGCCCATCAGGACTGCTCGAAGCCATGGTGGAGAACTCGCGGCGGACAGTTTTCCGCTGGCCTCGGCCCCATCTGAGGCCCCGAGGCCAGGCCGTGGGGCCGTGAGAGAGAGAGAGGCTCGGGACGCGAAGCAGGTCCTGCGGACAGGGGCGGGTCCAGTCGCCGGGGGCCCGCCTGGACCCATGAGCCACGTCTTCGGGTCGTTGGGCCCCGCGGGCGTCTGGAGTTCCTCACGCGTGGGCGCCCTCGCGGCCACCGGCCGGGCTCGCCTCGGAGCGCTGGGCAGGCTGGCCCCTCCGCCAGTCCGACTCGGCCTCCGCCACTGCGGCGACGGCCCACTCCGCCGCGTCGTCGTCGTCGTCGTCGTCGTCGTCGTCGTCGTCGTCGTCGTCGTCGTCGTCGGGGGGTCAGGGCGGGTGCCCTCTCGGATCGGCCGGCGGCAGCGGCGGCGTCGGCGGCGGCGACGGCGACCCGCACCCAGGTCAAGCAGTGGCGCAGCGCCCCGGCTTGCCTAGAGGCCCGCCAAGGAAGGAATGTTCTGAGAAGCGTCTGTGGTCTGCACGACATGTTCTCAGAACAGTTCTGGTTGAGGCTGTCTTGTCTTAGCACATCGGGCTTGTGTACTGAGGACATTGTTGCTGTTCTTGGAGCATGATGAGGATCTGAGAACATGTCGCGGTAGGCCTGAAGGAATGCCAGGACGGTCGGTCCCTGCTGAACCACGGGCTCCCTTGAGGCTCTCTCCAGGCCCCGGGGCCGTCAGAGAACGGCTCTCCCGGGGGCCTGTAAACAGGGGTTTTTGAAGCGGTGCGGGTGTGGGGCTCTCGGACGCTGCCGTCGGCTCCTGCGGGATCCCTTGCGCCGGGGTGCGTTCCAGCAGCTCTGCCTCGCCGAGGAGTTTCTGGCGGTGCCCGGTTCCTCCCAATCAGGTGTTGGAAAGCCCACACCGTGTGGTGAGTCAGCGGGGTCTGGGGCCACCGCGCGGTTTTGTGGCTGAGGTCGTTCTCCGAGAACGTCTCTGGTCATTGGGGCCTCCGAGGTCCCAGAACCGTGAGGTGACCACACAATGCAGTGAAGCCGTTGGGGGCTCCGAGGTCAGAGTACGGCCTTTCACTGCACCGACCTGAACACCCCCCAGAGTCGAGATGGAAAGCCGTTCCCTTGCGAAGGGGTCAAGAGAGGACCAGGGCCCAGGGCCGAACAGAGCGGGGTGTCAGGAGTCAGAGGGCGGCGGCGGCGGGAGCGGCGCGCGCAGCATGTGCTGCGGCAGCGGCAACAGTGGCGCCGACGAGTCGGCGGCGGCGGCGGTGTCGGCGCGGGGCCGCGGCTGAGGCGGCGACAACGACAGCGACGGCGACGGCGTCGGCAGCTCTGGCGGCGGACTCGCGGATCTTCCGATGCCCTCTCCTCGTCCAACCTGGTGCGTTCTTCCTCTTTAGGGGGGAAATCTCAGCACAACAGAGCACATCCTCCTCGTTAGCCCCAGATTATCTGGATTCTCCCCCTCGCTTCGGAAACACCTTCGGCGGTCCTCGACCCACCGAGTCAGCCTGGGGCGGGGCGTCGGCACGGACGGGCGCGCATGCACACTGCACGTGGAGAGCCCGTTGCGCAAGGACGTGCGCGTGTGCAGCTCCCCCTCCTCATACACGCTGCTGGTCTCCACGTCGAGCAGACTGCGTGCCGCGCCAGGCCGCGAGAGCAGCCCGAGCTGGTGATGCCAGGCGCTTGGTGCGCTGAATTCGTGCGGAGCCGGAGCGGCTGGTGGGGAGTCCCATTGGGCGCCGCGTAATGAATGTCGGGGTTGGACAGACCTCCTACCCTGACACGTCGATTAAGGAATTGGCCGTTTTCGGTTCGCGAGAGGGCGGCGCGGCCGTCATTTTTGCGGGTCCAGGTCCGTCGGCTTCGGTCCC